AGAAAATTATAGGAAAAACCAGTGAGCGGAGCAGTATAGTCGGACGGGGCCGACCATACGATACCCTACACAACTACCACGAACTCTAACTTTCTGAGGATATTTATTCCGAGTCTGAGTAATATTTCCTGATATTTGGCCCCTCTTGCCCGATTAAAGGTCAACAACACATCTTCCTTACTTTTTCTAATATTCAGTACAGTCCTTCTAATTACTTGTCCAGATTAGCTTCACGGTGGGTTGTGTTGCGATTTTCGGATTATACTCGACTCGAAAACACACAAAAAATTAAGTTTTCGGTCCATTTCATCCCAATATTATTATCTGATCATCACCGAAAATTATAGACGTTATCCTTGGCCACACCTGGACCCTCGTGGAAAATTTCAAAGCGTTCCGCGCTATATTTCCGCCTCTAGTGTGGTAATGGGTTACTAAATAGTATCTGAATACGTAAGCACCTGTAAATATTTGACTGTAACTCCCACATCTGAGTAGATACATCACTATATTTGGAATCAAGTTAAAGGCCAACCACTCCCCTTGGATATTTTGTAATTTTTCACACAAAAGTCAGGGTCCATTTGACCCGCTAAATATTGACCGATCTTTATCAAGACATGCATGCTTATTCTCTGGCCCGATCCCCTTCTCCATGCAAAAATTCGCGGTGTTTGGGCCATAATTGCGGCCTCTGGAGCGACCAGAAAAACCGGCAAAAATAATGTTTGTGGTCCATTTCATCCCTTAAATATTAATCGATCTTTTCCAAAAACAATAGGGGTCTTCATTGGCCAGAACCCATCCTACATGCAAAATTTCGTGAAGATTGGTCCATAACTGTGGCCTGTATCGTGTATACAAATTGTAATGGACGGACGGACACACATGTCTAGATCGACTCAGCTAGTCGAGATATGACGATCGGTATACTTAAAGGTGGGTCTAGGACCAATATTTCGCGGCGTTACAAACATTTGGGGCTGCACAAAGCTATAATACCCTGACAACATAGTTGTGTAGGGTATAAAAATCAGCACTCATTGACTGTGAGTTTTTTCTTTTTTCATTAAAAACGTCAGTCCTTAGCAACCGAGAAAACATTTTCTATAGAAAAAATAAGCCCTTTTCTGAAGAATTTTTTTCAGTAGCAAACAGACACTCCTCTTTGAATAAGGTTATTTTATTATATCCCCTTCCTTCCACCACCCTATAAAAACCTTGACCCTTCCTGGTGCTTCACAAAAATCTATGGCCACTCTTATCTACTCCAGCGTATTAGGATTTTTAGTGTCACACTATGTTATCTGTGACTTTAAGGAGAAATTATCTCCTTCAATGCGGCTTACTTACTTGACACAACCTGCACTACGATAACAACAGCAATAATTACAACGATAAATGAATGATATTAAACTCTAGAGTTCAGCTCCTAAGAGGGTAATTCTATTATCACTCAAATAGTTGTAGTTGTGCACATTGAACTCTGTTTGTGTGTGTGCGTTGCGTACACGAACCGCAGGATATAATACAACATCGACATGAATTAGGGTAGGGGGATGGCAGTAGAACAGTAGAAGTGGTGGGTGGGAGAGATTGGCTTACTGTTGCATTTACGTAGTTGTCTGTGTGTATGTCGAGCAATGTTCAGTTTATTAGTTTCCAAATAGCCCTCTAGGTATGGCAAGAAGGGGCAGATTGTGTGGATTTATGACTACAAACTTCCTTAACTTTTAAGTGCATTTGTATGACTTTAAAGGAATGCAGCTTTGAGAATAATTCTAAGAAATTTTATTAGCTCTTAGAAATTTCAGAAAAGATTGTATGTTATCCTTAAGCAATTTGAAGATGTTAAAAATACTTGGCCGGGAGGTAGGTTGTTATAAGCATGTTTTGTAGGTTTATAGAACACTAATTGGCGTTGTCCGTTGGGCGTTAAGTCAGGTCGCCTACAATTTCTTAGAATTATTCTCAAAGCTGCATTCCTTTAAAGTCATACAAATGCACTTAAAAGTTAAGGAAGTTTGTAGTCATAAATCCACACAATCTGCCCCTTCTTGCCATACCTAGAGGGCTATTTGGAAACTAATAAACTGAACATTGCTCGACATACACACAGACAACTACGTAAATGCAACAGTAAGCCAATCTCTCCCACCGGCGACCTGACTTAACGCCCAACGGACATAAAGCCCAAAATTGATTTTGGGGGTTATGTCTGCCCAAACCCCGGACATAACCCCCAAAATCAAATTGGGCGTTGTGTCCCCCCATGCTGCGGACATAATGCCCAAAAATAATAGGACATAACGCCAAACTTTTTTGGGCGTTATGTCCGCATACGAAATGGACATAACGCCCAAAAAATATTTTGGGTTTTTTCAAAATTTAATGATTTAAATGTAATATTTTGGGAACTAGGTATGTTGTAATGCAGAACTGGTTTCAAAATAACGGTATATTAGCTATTAAAAATGAGTTGTAAAAGATCAGTGGTTGATGCGTAAAATAGCAATCATCATTCAGTTGTTTCCAAACTAGTGATAAGAATGGGTGAAATTGTTGAATTCGAGTTTGTTGTAGGCGCTCGCCGCAATTGTGAGTTAGTGTATACGCCGACGAAAAAACAATTGTACAAATTTAAAACTCAATACACAAATAAAAAAGGAGAGTGCATAAGGCGATACATTTGTTATCAAAATAATTGCAAAGCATTTCTTCAAGTTATTAACAGAGAAGTAGCAATTTCACCAAAAGAAAATAATGGACACTCTGACCATGGCAACCAGGAAAGCCTAATGAAACAATTTAAATTAAAAGCTGCAATAAAAGAAGGTGTTTCCAAACCGAGCTTGGTAGCAAACAAAGTTCGAGTTGTTTTTAACGCTGAATGCAAAAATGCTAAGGATAGTGCTGATCAAATTGTCTTTAACAAAATGCAGAGGCACTTGAGGCGGATAAAGAGCCAAGCTATGCCGAAATCTCCACAAACTCCTCAGGAATTTATAAACCTATTTGCCAAAAGCGAACACATGAAGCAATACGGCATGTGTGAGAGCGCGCCGGACGAACCATTTTATCAAACAACTATCCTGGAAACAGACTTTAGCTACACCCTATTCTGCTCCTTACCAATGACCAAATTAATTTCTACTATGGATGATGACTCTCGTTACTATCTTGTCGATGCGACATTTGCAGTTGTGCCATCAAGCGGTTACAAACAATTACTTCTTATATACATCGGGTATGAGCGCCACGTAAGTTGTTGAGTTAGATGTTATTATGTGTATAAAATGTATTCCTTATTTTAAATTAGAAATTGAGTAATGAATCAAGCCGAAAGATGTTGAGAGCTATTGATCAATAGTCATAGACGCGAGAAAATCGCGCGATTTTCTTATATAAATCCACCGTCTATGACTATTGATCAATAGCTCTCAACATCTTTCGGCTTGATTCATTACTCAATTTCTAATTTAAAATAAGGCATACATTTTCCGTATGGGTACATTCAAAACCGAGTTTTGCAGGTATTCCCTTTTGCATACATACTTATGTCGAAGAAAACCCAGAAATCCTACGAACACGTTCTGCGGTTCATAGACGCAAATGTGTTTCGCCTTAAACCAGCCTCTTTTACCACAGACTTTGAGAAGGCCCTACGAAGTGGAATATTAAAGGTATATCCTGAGGTGCAGCTAAAGGGATGCTGGTTCCATTACTGCCAAGCATTAAGAAGAAAATTAACCAACATCTCAGAATTGGCTAAATTTGTAAAAACCACTGATGCGGCAAGGCGAATTTTTAAAAAGATGCTTGTTTTACCACTGCTTCCTCCAGACGATATACCAACCGCATTCAATTTGTGCAAACAAGAAGCGTACGCATCCATGAACTGTTATTACAAATCAGAGAATGTATTTGAGAAATTCTTCGACTATTTTCAAAGACAATGGATAGATTTAGTGAGTACATACATATATATTCAGAAAATTTTAAATATGTATATATATATATATATATTTCCATAGGAAAGTCCACTCAAATTTTCTGTCCATGGTGAATGCGTACGAACTACGAGCGCTGTGGAATCATATAACAGCTTTTTGTGTGCACAAATTCCAATGCATGGCTCATTCTGGGACTTTTTACAAATAATTAGACAGCAAGAGTTTCAGAAATATGTTGATCTGAAACAGATTTTAGATGGCGTTTCGGAAATTTCACAACCACCAAAAAAACGAAATAGAGACCGCAATGAGCAAGTGAAAATTCTCACAGAGCAACTGGCAAATAAACAGATTACTCCCAAAATGTTCCTCCAGATGATGACCAATAAAATAAATAATCTCGCCCCAGTAGTTTTGGACCGAACACCTATTGATGAAAGCGAAACTGAGGATGAAAGTCAACCTATCATTCAGGATGGGTTGTTATGTGAAATATGTTTTAAAAACAAAAAATGTATGCTTCTGCTTCCATGCAGGCATGCAAAACTTTGTAAACCTTGTTTTGAAGGAATACAAGATAAACATAATAATCAAGGTACTTTAATATTATGTCCATTCTGTAGACAAATTGTGGGTCAAACACAAGAAATTTATATTTGATTTGAATAAACTTCTAATTTCTACAATTGAACTGCAAAAATGTTACTTTAAATAAAAACGGACATAACGCCCAGTGGGCATTATGTCCGCGGCATTGGGGGACATAATGCCCAATTTCATTTTGGGGTTTATGTCCGAAATTGGGAAATTTTGGGCGGAACATAACGCCCAAAATCAATTTTTGGCTTTATGTCCGTTGGAGCGTTAAAGATTTTTGTTTGAGATATGTCGAATCACTGAAAGAATATTATCTGAGGCGAGGAGGCGTGGTTTTTTTAAAGAATATTATCTGAGGCGAGGAGGCGTGGGTTTTTGATAGAATATTATCTGAGGCGAGGAGGCATGGATTTTTGAAAAAATATTATCTGAGGCGAGGAGGCATGGATTTTTGAAAAAATATTATCTGAGGCGAGGAGGCATGGATTTTTGAAAAAATATTATCTGAATATTATCTGAGGCGAGGAGGCATGGATTTTTGAAAAAATATTATCTGAATATTATCTGAGGCGAGGAGGCATGGATTTTTGAAAAAATATTATCTGAGGCGAGGAGGCATGGATTTTTGAAAAAATATTATCTGAATATTATCTGAGGCGAGGAGGCATGGATTTTTGAAAAAATATTATCTGAGGCGAGGAGGCATGGATTTTTGAAAAAATATTATCTGAGGCGAGGAGGCATGGATTTTTGAAAAAATATTATCTGACGCGAGGAAGCGTGCTTTCGTTCCATTTTTAATGAATATATTTTCAAGGCTTATCTAAGGCGTGGATTTTTTAAAGCATATTTTTGAGGCTTATCCGAGGTGTCTATTTTTTAAAGAATACTTTTTCAAGGGTTATTCGAGACGCGGATTTTTTATCATTCATAACGACATACCTCCCTCTTTGCTATTATATAAACTTCTCATCATTTATTGCCAAAAATTGGCAATAAATTGTAAACATCGTTGTGACGTTTGAGAAGAGTTCAGATTATTACAATTATTTATTATTTAATTATTCATATTAATATTTTATTCCTGATAACTAGGATCTACATACATATATTGCAAATCCCTTTGACAAACTAAAATAATTAAAATACTTAATGTTTACATACACATCAAATGGATTACCAAATATATCATGGACAAAATAAAAAACAAATGATTAAAAATTCTGTTATGTTTTTTGCCAGAGAGAGATTTAAAGTTGTTATCAAACAATTCATTGCTATCGTTAGTCATTGAAGAGGAAACCCATTCAATTCGGAGAAAAAACTCCGAATTTGTATAACACTTGCACACAATGCATGTCAGTACACGTCAATTAATTACACATATTCACAAATGGATGGCAGCAAAAAACAAAAAAACTGCAGCGAAATGTTGTCACTGCCAGGTTCACGGAAAACGACACTTTTGCAATACAATACTCAGAGTACAACAACAGCAAAAAAAAACGTCATCTATGGACACTATTTTCTATGACAAAGAGAGGAAACGGAATCGAAAATGGAGAGGAAGAAGAACAAACCGTCAAAGGCAATATGTACTATCATCATTCGGCTAGGGTATGTTTTTGCTGCTAAATCGTTGTACCTTGTCAATAATTCATCTACCGACATGTTTGAACAACAACAACTTTTTTCTGACACGAAGGAGTCGAAACTGAACTTTGCCTATATCGCCAATTTCCAGTACATCGAACACAACAGCTATCAATCTATAAGTTCGACTGAATACAGCTACCTATTGAATAACCAACCTGTGACATTCATTCATGAGCATACATAAATGTTATGTCACCTAAGAATGACAATAAAAACAATGGATATATATGTGGGTGTGTGTGTTTGTCTTCGGTTTTTGCTATTCTCATATTCAAACGGCCCCCGAGCTACAAACGGTTCAGGAAAAAAGAAATTCATTTGTTATTTGCTCTTTATAAAGGAAATAGCCCGAAAACAGTTAGGGAAACATTTTTAAAACAACAAAGAAAAGTTTTCAAAAAAGTAAAATGTAAAATAGGATATTGGTACAGGTGGTGGCGAGAGAAAACAGGTCAAGATGAAGGGAGAATTTATGGGTGAGTGAAATGGCGAAGGGGGTTTTTACAGAGGAGCGGCAGCAGGAAAGGGAGTCCTTATAGACGAGTCGAGGGATGTCTTAATAGACGAGCTGAAGGGAGTCTTTACAGAAGTGCTGAATGAAGTTATTATAAACAAGTCGAATATGGACTTATGTCAGGAATTCAGTTATCTGTGACTTACACATTTTTTCCAATAGAACAAAATCAGTCCTCAGTGACTGAGTTATTTTTTTATTAAAAATCAGACTTTTAATTTTGTTTACATAAACAACAGTCCTCTGTGACTGAGGAATTTTTTCTATAAAAAATACGAATCACCGAAGACGACTGAGGATTTTTTTATAGAAAAAATTTTTCGTCTGACCTCCATGCAGCCTTTATAGACGAGTCTTTTGTATACGAGTTGAAGCTGTGAGTCTTTCATAGACGAGCTGAAGATGACGAAGTATTTAATAAAAACATGAAGATCAAGGAGCCTTTATAGGTGAGCTGAAGTCAATATTCGTGAAATTTTTTAAGAATATGTTTCCAAAGAACTTTCTAGGCGTGGATTTTCAAAGACTAAGGATTTTTTTATGAACAAAAAGATGTTATTGGATGAGTCGACACATCCCATAAAATGCCATGATGGTAGCATCTGGCACATTTTGCATGTTTAATTTCAAATTTTTTGTTTAATTAGCTTGAGGAGTAGAGCAAAGCAAAGGCGCATGGAGAGAATGTTTAATCAAAGCTTTAAAGATGAAAAATAAATAGCTGGGAGGAGGGAAATGTGTTTAGGAATTTACGCTCGTGGATATTTGCAGGGTAAAAACGTGGTAGCAAAACACGACAAAGTAATTACGCTTAATAAAAGGAGAGTCGAGATAAATAAATGAAAATAGAATGTGAGGGATAACATGCACCTTCAAACCTCACATCACACACACCCAATATAATCCCATCCGAGGGCTATGTAAAATTTATATTCTTAGAATTTAAAATTTTTCAAAAGCACATTTATTTCGTTTAAACTTTCAATTACGTTTTCATTTGTTTTTCAATTACCAAGGAAACTGTAAAAAATCTCTCCTGAGGTTACTTCGTCTTCCTTCCGGCTTTAGCAACATTTCACAGTCATTTTTTGTCTCTATCTCTCAGCTGAAGGTGTCTTGGTTTAATTTCATTTCAGTCTATTCATGGATAAGTATAATCCCCTGATAGAGCCAAACAGAAGAAGAAGAACAAGAAGAAACAATGTCACAACAAAAGCCAAACACTTCAATGAATGCAAAAATAAAAAAGCAAAATCTCGTACCATTCCAAACATTTGCATTCATTTAGTCATACATTTTCTGTTTCTTTATTTAACTGTGTGTGTGTGTGTTTTTTTTTTCTCTGTACGGTTCTGTTCAGACGACAGTGACATTTAACCTCCTTTTGTGGCCAACATTTCCGACTGATTGCTTCGTTAAAATGAATATAAACACAACCCAAAAAACTTTTGTGGGACCACCAAACGAAATAGGGGTACGAGATGGCTGAGAACTAAAGTGTGGTTGTTGGCCGGGTGGTGAAAGAAAGTTGGAGGGTTGCTGGCGAAAAATCTAGAGTTTTGCCATGGTTTCGGTGTGTGAAAAAACCATTTTGCTGGCCTTTCTTCGCCTCTCTTCTATTAAATGGCGTGAAGTGTAAAATATGTGCCAGCCTCGCAATTTGCTGCTGCTGGTACCTCCTGATCCTGTTGAGTGCCATGTGATTCTAGACAAAACGGAACACAATGACAATCTTGGCTCTTGTCAGCAACAACTACTAAATGCCCTCTACAAAAACGTAACGAAATGTTTCTTTTATGGGCGTCCGCTTTTTTCTGCTATGCTGTGAATGTGTTGGTGTGTGTGATTTCTTCGTCTTCTTAACATTTTTTGTAGACTATCTATTTGCGCTTTATTTAAGATTTTAGTCTTGTTAGTATTTAAAATATTTATGCGAAAATAAAAATCTTCCGACAAATATTGAGAATTTTTATGGGGTTTTAAATATTGATGCCTTATAAGCTCCATGATATTATCGAAGAAAAAAATATTCATGGAGGAGTCGCGAAGTGAAATATCATATCGAGGCATATGGATCAGTACGCAGACAATGGGTGATTACGATGGTAACTATGTAAAATTGTGTAGGGATGACCAAAAAAATTAAAAGGGAAGTTCTAAAGCTGAAAATCTGAAGGCAGAAGGGGCTTTACTAATGCGCCA